GGCTACTTCTTGGTCCTAGAAGGTTTGGCTCTTAGGTCATTTAGGAGATGATGGTTGAGCTCCTTGAGTACACACTCAGGGTCGTGCTGTTGGCGTCTCGTTCCTTTGGAGAGATCTGAGCACCTACTGACTTCAGGCAACTATCCCCAATAAGCATATTCTCAGTGTATGAGAAGCTACAGTAAGAACAAGATACGCGTTTTACCCCGGTATGGTCCTCCCACCGGCAGCATAGACTGCTGATCTTCAGTTAATAAATAGGTTAAGAGAAGTAACACAGGGAATCCAAAGGAGAGCCCCATGGTGGAGGACCAGAGTAAAGAACTTCCGAGGGTCAAGGAGGAGAATCCTGGTCGGGATTCCGAGCTTCCTGAAGACTGGAGAATTAACTAGGGACACAGGATGAAGAGCTGTCAAGCAGGCGGGGAAGAGGAAATTCACACATGGAGATGAACAGTGCCCAGCCTTGGGAAAAGGATAGAGTAGCAAAAGAAGGCCTAGCTTGTGAATGGACTCGAGATTGATGCTCGCAAGTTCTCCAGGAGGCAGGCTTTGTTAAGGATCTTGGATTTGTGATGTTGGACTCTTTTGAGAGCAGTGGACGCAGCTGAGAAGAGTGTATTTGTTGCCAGTGGAAAGCAACTAAGACTTTTCTGGGCAGGCTGAAGAGACACTTAAGAAGCCAGGGTGGAGGGAGCAGAGGTGAGACAAGGGGATGGAGTTTGTGTGGGAGGAAGCATGCTCAGAGCCTTAGGACTGGAGACATGACTGGGCAGCTCTTCCAGAGGACTCAGACTCAAGCCACATGGCAGCTCGCAGCCTTTACTGACTCCAGTGTCAGGAGTTCCGACGTCCTCTCTGGCCTCTGCAGGCACTGCATGTGGACAGAACATTCATACATATAAAAGTAAATGAATCTTAAAAAGAGAAACCGACCCCCAATGCCTGTGTTTGAGGTGGCAGTGAGGACTCTGACCGTGCCGCCTGCAGGGCAATGATGGGCCGTTGCAGATCAGCCCTGAGCTTGTAGAGCCGAGGCCAGCGCACAGTGGAATGCTCTTAAGATCCGCATCTCTGCCAAGCACCTGCAGGCTTTCTCATATCACTGTTTCTTAATATAGTAGTGATTGATACAACATATACTTTGAATCAGGTATGGTATGCAATCTAGAGACGGTTTAAAGTGTATGGGAGGCTCATTTAAATTATAGACTTCAGGACTTAGGCATATAAGGGAAGATGCTACAGCCCTGGAGAGACCAAGAGGCAGGTGTACTAAAATCAGCACAACTAAAATCAGACAGCTTAAAATCAGTATATCCAACAGAATTTCTTAAGCAATTACATATGCGTGCTTATAATATAATATATAAATGTTTAATATACTGTGTATATATAAAATAAATATAATAATGTGGTATATCAGGATTTTAAAGAAATAACCATTGTGTTTTGGTCTGATATATCCTAAATAGAAATGTTCCCACTATAACCATAATTAGAGCAATCTTTACAGCTTATACTTATTTTAGAATGCTATAATTTAAAATCCTTTAATTATAACATAATACATATTTAAAATAACTTTGCTGTAATTGTAGAGTAATTTAGAAAAGTATTTACCAGATTCGATCATACACTCATTTTGCTCTCCTAGGTAAGGCCTATTTTTTATTTTCATTATTTTCTTCTGAGACAAGGTCTCAGTGTATAGCCCAGGCTGATCCTCCCACTTTAGCTGTCTGAGTGCTAAGATTACAGGTCCTTACCTTCACACCTGGAGCTGTTACTAACGACAACTGGATAAATGCATTACAACGGTGACAGGAAGTAAAGATGCAGTGTTATTTTAGAATTATAGAATACTTTTCATGTGCCTATGTGTATGTGTGCGCACACATGTGTGCATGTGTGTAGAGGCCAAAGGTTGATTTCAGGAGGCTTTCTGATTGCTCTTCCACTGTTTTTTTTTTTAAGTATATTTTCACAAAATCCACTGTATTCTTTTGAAGTCGGACCCTTCAGTCAGACCTAGAGCTAGTCTAAATAGTTTCTCTAAACAGTTAGCTCAGGATCCTGTCTCTGCCTTCTGAGACTGGAACTATAGGTGGGCTGCTATGTCTACCCAGCATAGAAGTAGCTTATCGGGAATTTGAACTCTGATCTTCCTGCTGTGTGACGTGCACTTTAATCACTGAGTCATCTCCCCAGCCCTAGTCCATCATCTTAAAGTTTTTCTTCTTCAGAAGCTGGAGAGATAAATCAGCAGAGGGCCTGGGCTTGGTTCTCAGTACCCACAAGGCAGCTCCCACCAACAGTAACTCCACTTCCAGGGGTTCTGGAGCCCCCTTCTGGCCAAAATGGGCACTGCATGTGTATGTTGCACACATATACATGTAGGCAAAATTCTCATACACATACAATTAAAATAAATAAATTATCCCAGCCCTCAGGAGGCAGGGGCAGGCAGATCTCTGAGTCCGAGGCCAGCCTCGTCTACAGAGTGGGTTCCTCCAGGACAGCCAGCTCTTTTACACTGAGAAACTCTCCAAAAAAAATTTAGAAATAAAATTAAAATAAATCTTTAAAAAATTAAAAGTAGGGGCTGGAGAGATGGCTCAGTGGTTAAGAGCATTGCCTGCTCTTCCAAAGGTCATGAGTTCAATTCCCAGGAACCACATGGTGGCTCATAACCATCTGTAATGAGGTCTGGTGCCCTCTTCTAGCCTGTGGACACACACACACACACAGACAGAATATTGTATACATAATAAATAAATATTAAAAAAATTAAAAGAATTTTTCCTGAAATCAAAATATATCAAAGTATATTTGATCAAAAATCACACATAGCAAAAAATCACAACAACCAAAAGGTACATGGTGGCACACACCTTTAATCTCAGCACTCAGGAGGCAGAGGCAGGGGCAGGTGGATCTTGGTGAGTTTGACCAGCCTGGTCTATAGAGTAAGTTCCAGGATAATCAAGACTACACGGGGAAACCTTGTCTAAAAAAAAAAAAAATAAAATCATTACACAGAGATCTGCTCGCTCTCCCGGCATGCTCCAGCTCTTCCCAATCCCCACCCCCACTTCCCCACCACGTTAAGAACTTTCTGGTCTGATGTTTTGCTATTCAGATAGCATAGAAGAGACTGAGCAACTAAGGAAGGACCCCACCCGCCCTGGGCTGGGCCATGTTGCCCCACAGCCTAGCGAGAAAGAGCAGGTGTTCACGCACTCCAGACCTTTGCTGTCAGTCACTTGTATGGTGAACAGACTTAGCACGCATGGATTTGTTTGCACGAGTCAGCTCTTCCCCTTGAGGCAGGCCATGGCAGGTAGACGTCTATGAGACGGAGTTGATTGTAGCTGGAACATCCCAGATGGGAGCATGGCTTCATTATTTTCTGTCTGCTAAGTGCACTCGGAACCAGTTAAATACAGGTGGCCAGGTCCTACGGACGGCTGGTGCCCTGCTGTGCTGGGCGAGGAAATTAAAGACACAGCGGAGGGTTGTCTGGAGGACTAGGTAGTGACTAAGTGGAAGACTAGAAGAGTGGGTCACCCAAGAGTGTTGGAAATTTCCCACAAAGCAGTTTTCATGCATACGGTGACCATTGGATAATAGCCTTGTATGTTCTTAGATACTATGTATTATACACATGTTATTTTACATACTTTGTTGAACTAGTGAGGATTGTTTATGTACAAAATTGTGTATTCTGAGCTTACTAAACCCATCCAAGGCATTTTTAAGGATTTGGGGCTTTGATTGCATATGCTTTTCCCATTATACATTAATTTAGGACTTCTCTAGAACGTTTATTACATCTAGAGTTTTATTAAGTTCTGTTGAGCTTGTTGGTCCAAATTAGGCAATTCTCATCTGCTTGTAGGAGAAAATACAGAATTTATCTTTACAGCCGAGACATTCTTCCCTGACCATGTCTGTCTTTACATCAGATGACATGGTCCATTTACTGTTCTGTGTGTTGTTTGTCAGGGGCTGGTATGTTAACTGGTCCAGCAGTTTCCTCTGCGGCAGTTGAACTCGCTGTTCAACCCAAGACAGTGGACAGAGGCTAGCCTGAGTGCCCCGGAAGTCAGGCTGTGTACGCTCTGTCTCTGACCTCTGCCTAGGAGAATCCTTTGACCTCTGAGCTTTGACTTCCTCTTCAACACGAGCAGCTAGGATAACCCCGAAAAGAAACAAGCACTTATGGAGCGCTTGCTGTATACACAAGTAGATATCCTGAGGGATAGCAGGACAAGGCCAAAACCTTGCCCTGAAGGAGTTTAGAAATTCTTCCTCTGACTTGGGTGTGGGTAAAGTCTGTTTGCCGAAAGTCAGGCATGGAAGCTTAAGAGCTGGTTTCTTGTGCGTGACCCCAGTGTGTCCCCCATCAACAGGTCACGTCAACACTGGTTGTTCCTCTGGACTTAGTGCTGTCTGCCCACGTTTACCTCCTCGTGCAGCAGATGGCTTCGGTAAAAGGCCGACTATTTTTGGTCTCTGGGCCACATAGGCAGTTAGAGAAGTTGCAGACAGCATATAAATAAGTGTCCTAATAAAACTTTATTTACACAGACAGCTATTCCTGTTTCTGAGTTGTTTAATTGATTCATACTCTGTCTGAAACTGTAAGATGCTGTCTGGATAACTAGGGGCTGGAGATGTGGCCAGACAGGTAAATGATACAGGCTCTTCTCTGTATAGCTTTGCCCTTCATTTTGTCACCAGCAAAGACCTAACTATCGAAGTTTGGCTACTAGGCTCCTCCCACCGGAAAGCCATTGGAGCTCTATACTAGGGAGTTAGATGAACAGCCAAGGATTCCTAGACCCCAGGGCCAAGAGCTGAAGAACCCACTACTGTCTTCAGGGACTGAGACTTCTGCCCAAACAGAGGCTTTCTGATTGGGTTGGGCTTGACAAAGCCAGCTTGTGTCCGTTTTTGGAAATAGCCCTAGCCGCTCACCTAACTCCCATCCCTAGCCTCTTCCAGATACTCTGAAGAAAAGAATGCTCCTGCTGTGTTTCCTGAGGGTGTGCTGGCTGACACAGGGCTCTGCAGGGTTGCACAAGGTAGGGAGGCAAGCCAGGAGGTCATCCCAGGAGATGCCCCTCGTCACAGATAAGCCAGACAAACAGCCCTACAGACATTAGAAACTGGAAATAGATACTCCTAAAAAAGCAACCATTTTCAGTCTTACGGGAACCCACAAATAAGTCATGTTTTTAAGTCCTGGAAAAGGGTTGCCTTCACCTCAGTAAGGATGTCAGAAGCTGGCATTGGGCAGGCTGACCTTGTGGCTTTGTTTTGTTCCCAGGGAGAGGTGACATCCAGCCTCAGTTGGACAGCGCCCTCCAGGATGTCAACGATAAGTATCTCCTGCTGGAAGAAACGGAAAAGCAGGCTGTGCGGAAAGCGCTGATCGAAGAACGCGGCCGATTCTGCACTTTCATCTCCATGCTGCGGCCCGTGATTGTAAGTTGACGGAAACTCCAGAAGGCTTGAACTGTGCAGTGCAGAGGGAGGGGCTGTCCTTCTTGGTTTGTGCATCGGCCAGCCTGTTAGTGACCACCCACCGCTGTCGGGAATCACAGTGGTGGAATCATGTCCCCACAGCAGAGATTATCATCAAGGTGCTGATGTCCACGTGACCCTCTCCTGGATCACAGTTCTTAACAACACATATCCTTGTTGGGAGAAGGGTCACTTGTTCGTCCCAGCTGTTCAGCATGAAATAACCACTCAGAAAACCATATTATTTGCAATACTATAGCTCTGCTATAGGCCCAAAGCAGTTTCTTTATTCATTAACCAATAGAAACAACACATAGACAGAAGGACCTCCCTCTCACACCATATCCTTCTTGTTTTGTTTTTTAACTGAGTTGAGATCTCACATTTCTGTTCATGGTGGCCCAATCACCATGTAATCCCAGCATTTTGGAGGCTGATACAAGAGGATTGCTGTGAAGTTTAGACAAGCCTGGGCTATAGAGTAAGTCCTAGGCTACCTACGGCTAGAGCGAGACTTGGTCTTAACAATCCTTCCCACTTCTCCCCCATCTCAAAACAAAACTCACAAAACAGAAAGCCTGTTTAAAGAGTCAGCAGAAGCACCTGCCAACTAGATAGGAAAATTCCGTGGCCCACTCTAGACCCACTGTATCTAAAACTCTGAGCCTGGGGCCCCTGCATCTGTCCTAAGTGCCAGGAAGCACCTCAGTGGATTAGTTTCCCAACCTCAACTCCCCTCCCTCCCTCCCTCCCTCCCTCCCTCCCTCCCTCCTTCCCTTCCTTCCTCCCTCCTTTTCTTTGCTTTTCTTTCTGGATTTTTGAGAGAGGGTTTCTCTGTGTAGTCTTGGCTGTGCAGGCCAGATTGGCCTCAAACTCACAGAGATCCACCTGCTCTGCCTCCCGAGTGCTGGCCTTAAAGGTGTGGGCCACCACCGCCAATGACGTCCCACTTTAAGTCATGTAAACCATGTGCAAGCTACAGCTGAGTTTGCAGTAGTCATTCTTGGAGGCTGCTGAAGGCTCTCGTGCTCAGATTTGAGGTGGACCTGGGCCCACAGTTCCTGCTGGCACCCGGGAAGGTGACCGAAAGGTTTGCAGTCCTTGCTTCATTCCCACTTGCTGGTTGTTCAGATGGGGCAGTGGACAAGAAACAGGGACAGTAATACTACCGAACACTTGTACTGTCATAAAGATCTGGGCCTAAATATCCCTAAGACATGATAGCCATTGAGGGCTCCCTACGCCCATGGAAGGATCCCCTGAAAACACATGGGTAGGCCATCCGAGGCACTGTGAGGATGCTCCCTGTCCCCCCATTGTCCCCAGCACACAGCTCACTCTCACTGCCTTTTCCTTTTCTCTTTCCAAAAAGAAGATACACACGTCCCCTTCAGCTTAGATTCCTATCTCAGGTGCCTTTCCTGTAAGGTTGACAAGGTCATGCCGTGACCCAAGCAAAAGTGGTTGGAATAAGATGATGAGGGAAACCACATGATGATGTGCACAAATCGCTTCCCTGCAGGAGGAAGAGATCTCCATGTTAGGAGAAATTACCCACCTTCAGACCATATCGGAAGACCTGAAGAGCCTGACCATGGACCCTCACAAACTACCCTCCTCAAGTGAGCAGGTAGGAACTGTGGGCCAAGCGCTCGGGAACAAGGGATGGAATCCAGGGCTCTGGTCCGGGTTCTGTATGTTAGGTTTACATTCTTTGTGTGAGCCACCTTAGCTCACCGTCACTCTGACACCCATTTTGTAGGGAAAGGTGCTGAGAGTCTGAGAGATGAAGGCACCTAATCGGGGCCTCCGCTCTAATATGTGATGACCAGATGCTGTGCTCAGCCACCCTGCGGGCATGAGCTGTCCTAGGAACCTGACCTCATGTGATTCTGTATCATTGCGATCCTCTCTGGGGCTAGTCAAGTCAGCCATGGGACCCTCCGCTGCAGAAAAGATAACACATTTTAAATGCTTTATTCCTTTGATGTGTGTGACATTAGCACGCTATCAAGTCGGAAGAGATGTCTGGGGGACAGAGGATGAGTCATAGGCTGGTTTGAGCCCTCTGTGTGCAGCTGTCTGCTTGGACAGTCAGCTCAGAAAGACGAATTTGGAAGCTTTTTGATTTTCTGTCTATGAAATTTTTCTATTAAACTAACTAGAGTATGCATTGACTCGGTGAGTAGACATGAGCAGAGTACCTCTTAAATGAACAGGCTCTTTGTCGCTGGGATAGGATTGGCTTCCTCTTGATTCTGTGAGGGTTCCATGTTTCTAGCCCTAGCCAAACAGGGCGCAAGTGACTACTGAGCGTCAAGAGGTTGAAGTGCTGTCCACAGGCCCCTAAACCACTATTGTCTCAAGGGAGCTGCAGGATGGAGATGCTATCTTTTAGGAGTTGTTAGTCCATCGCTGCAATTACCTTTTCCTCCTGATATTTCAGGATTTTCCCCTTCTAACTCTTTGTTAACTCTATAGTTTTTTGCTTGTCTCAGAAGGACTGTGACCTTGAAAGATAGGTAGTGTGGTTCTTGGGTTAAAACATGACCCCTGTGAGGGGCACATTCTCATCCTGTGTGTAGAGATGTGTGCCTGAAGCCCCTCTCCTCTGCCCCTTCAGGTGATTTTGGACTTGAAAGGTTCTGATTACAGCTGGTCCTATCAGACGCCACCCTCGTCACCCAGCACTACCATGTCCAGAAAGTCAAGTGTCTGCAGGTGAGTGAAGTCCCGGGCCTCCTATGCTTATCAAGACATCTTTGCAATGTGACCAGGAGCCTGGCCTTTCCCCAGGAGGCATCAATTTGAAACAGGGTGTAGTCAAGTGGAGAATGCTCTCAGGTTTTAGTCTGTTTTTCCTCCCCCAGGTATTCTCACAGCGAGCCCAAGGCTGACTTTTTCTTTCTGTTTTGAGGAAGTCGACCCAACAGTAGCTGGAACAGAAGCCACAATGGCTTCTGGCCATGTCTCACCCACATTACTGTAGTTTTAAAGTCCGTCCAGTTTTTGTGTCCCCTCTTCCCCCCTCATGCCAAGTCACAATGTTACTCGTGGAAATGGGCAATCATTTGAAATAGACCTGGGTTCTGTAGGACCATTGCCTAGTTCCATGAGGCAGCTGCTTTTGGCCTGCTGAGGGGCAAAGTTTATTTTGTTCTTGAACGGTGGGAGCGTCTTTGGACATCACTTCCTGCGCTGGTGCAGTAGAGCACTTGCTGCCAGTCATTTGACTTTGCAAAACCAAATGGATGTGAGGTAGCCCAAAGAGGGAGCGGGGGATCTGCCCAAGTCTGTGGGAGATGCCGCTCAGCACCCTGCTGTGTTTCATTTCTCCCTGGAGAGAGTGGGGCGGGGGCAGGCAGGTCTGGTCAAGAGGCTTTGTCCTGCCATCTTCCCCAAAGATGTTGCCTGGTTTTTCTGGTCACCTTTCACAGGCTCTGTATTTCTGTGAGACAGGAAAATAGTTTTTTCTTTCAGTGGCTCAGTAAGGTTCATCTCATAGGGTAGAACAAGCCACACCCTGCCGTCTCCTCCTCGTAGCCTTACTCGGTTGCACTGACAAGAGCTGTCTGGATCAGTCATGCTCCCCTGTGTCTGACCAGTCACTGCACGTCATCCTAGCATAGGATAGCCACACAGTATTGTTCCCCTAACGCATCATCTTTAGATTAGAAACCACAGACCCCGGTTTGCAAGCCTCGAGGCTTGCTTCTTACCCCAGGTGCTTCTGTAATAATTGCCCTTGACATTTTTGCTCTGCCTGCCTGCAACAGGGACTCTGCTCTTCTTTCTGGTTTCCGTAGGAGCATATATGCTCTTACTAGGGAACGAAGTGCAGGCGGAGATCCTCAAGGGTGGGAGCCATTGTTCTACTTCCGACTTACTGGTTCACCTTAAACACGAGCAGCTTAGCACTGAAAGCTGCCTATGGCGTTAGACAGACAGTTCAACAGAGAAACACCCGCAGAAGAGTCTGGCGGTAGTCAGCTCACCAGCTCTGGTAATAAAATAAAATAAAATGTTTGCACTCAGTCATACCAAGTTGATTTGCTGATGTGTTTGGCAGGGTGGATGGAATTCACCTTAGGGTGTCAGCCAGTGCTGTTTAGCCGTGTGGCCTCTGGTCATCTGGGGCCAGATAGTCGTCCCAGGATGTGAGACCGTGTCACATGCTGTGGATTTAATGGGTTCTGCTCCAGGGTCATGGTTACCACAGGCAGATGAGATCATCCCCACTTTTTCTTTATATTACAAGTGTTAGTCCCGCAGCTTTGTTGGTAAGTGGCGTAATAGAGTTGGGCCTTGTTGGCTTTTTAAAAGAAAAACTTCCCAGGCATGTATTCTGAGCCTGTCACATTTTATCCTTGGAGACCTGAGACCCAGCTCCCTTATTGTCTACCTAAAAAAACCTTTCACTTACCATCTTGATTTGGTCGTTGGCAACATGTTCTGGGGTTTATACTACTTCTCCAGGGCAGGGGGCTAATACTGTTTTGTTTTGCATGTGTGTGCTCTTTCCTCACCCTGCCCCCCTCCTCCATGCCTGCCCCTCTGCTTGGCCCTTACAGCAGTCTGAACAGTGTCAACAGCAGTGACTCCCGGTCCAGCGGCTCCCATTCCCACTCCCCCAGCTCGCATTACCGCTACCGCAGCTCCCACCTGGCCCAGCAGGCACCCGTGAGGCTGTCCAGCGTGTCCTCCCATGACTCAGGATTCATATCCCAGGATGCCTTCCAGTCCAAGTCACCGTCCCCCATGCCACCTGAAGCTGCCAACCAGGTAAGGATGTCCTTGACCCAATGAGCAACAGGCGCACAGGGTACCCTGGCCGCTGTTGAGAGATGAAGCCAAATCCTTGTCTTTAAAGATGATGTCCCAAAGGGAGAGGTGCTCTAAGTTGGGCTGGAAGCCTATCTCCACATCCAGTAATCGTTAAAATGCCATGTTGGTTTGGCAGGCTGTCACATGTAAGTAGATAGCCCCAAAGAACTGGGCTCTCTCCTACATCTCCTACTGTAAGTGCCCAGTCTGGTGTGTCATGACCCACAATGGGGACACCCTCTTCATATCACCTCCCTGATGGCAGAGACCCTGTCATTGAATAGTTATTCCCTACACTGTTACGTGCCCCACTGTCAGTTGTGTTGCCACTGAGAAGGTGGCCCAAGCACCCGTGGACAATTCTTTCTGCACTTTGATCCAGGGAGAAGGAAGGATAGGTGATCTCCACCTCTGTTTTAGTTTGGATGGTACCCGCCCAGCCCAGTGTTCCTGCTGCCTCAGCATGCAGGAACTGGACCAGGCGTTGGGTGCCCCTCATGTGTGTTGTTTTGTGTATATGTTCTTCAGGGTTCCTGTTTCTTAGGACCGGTCTGTCACCTCTGGCTCAACACTCATTAATAAGGGAAGGGCATGATTGGTGCCACCACCTGTTGGATCCCATAGCGCCACCTGCTGGTGTGTGTGGGGGGTAGGAGCTGGACCAGAGAACCTTGTTGCTTAGCCAAAGCTATCAAGTGCAGAGCCTCCTGCTTCGAAGCTCTTCAGCATTTCTGAGCCGTCTGAGGCATAGTGGTGTCTTCCCTTCTCCTTCCCCTTTAGACTCAGCTTCCCACAGGAACGTTCAGGGCCGAGTGCTGCGTTTACTTTCAGTGTGTGTGTCTTAGCCGGGGTGTCAGCCTGTTCCTCCTCTGTGCTTCACTAAACTGTGTGCCTGCCGTGCTCCCATGAGTGCATGTGGTCAGAGGAGGGCAGAACCTTTGCCTCCTGAAAGGCCATTCAGTGTGCAGTAGAGCTGTGTCTGTGGCTAACGGATTGGAAATTAACATATGTTGCACCCCCATAACCCTTCCTGAGAAAGCAAAGCCTTCTATCCTTTTCATACTTCTGTTGGTGGCCCAAGCATGATTTCTGCCCCAGTAACACGGGGGAAGGAAAAAGGTATTAAATTGGGGGTTTCTGACCTATGAAGGCCTGTACCTGCCTGGCTCATACCCAAGAGTAGAGGATCTGGAGCTAGGGAGCTGGCTCAGTCAGCCGAGAGAACCTGTTGCTCAAGCACAGTCTCAGATTTGGATCTTCGACACCCATTTAAAGTCAGGTGAAGTGGCACATATTTTTTGTTGGTGCTAGATGTGGAACCCATGTGGACATGAACAGACGGACAGATGGACACACACACACACACTTACACACACACGGTAGGCTTTCTGTATATTGGGTGTGGAGCCCAGGCTCTCTCAGATGCCAGGCAAACCCTGGCATTGACCATTGTCTTACACCCCCAGCCTAGGGAGCTCAAACTAAACCACAGGGTATTGCAGAACTCAAAGGAGAATTGTTCTTTTTCACACAGCTGCTTGTAATCTACAGTAAAGAGGAACTAGTAAGGCCCCTGCTGAATTACACCAGCCAGGGGGTTCCCCCTTCTCTGTGGTGTAGTTAGGTACTGTTGATCCCCTTCTCAAGGTGAAAAACCACTGGGGCTCAGAACTTGAAGCCTCCAGGTTCACAGCTGGGAAATGATAGACAGGAAGCATTAATGCAAACCTTTACATTTCTGATCATGGGTTGCAAACCAGACACCAAGTTACCGAGTATGTATTTGATCCTTTGACCTTGCAGGATGGAAAGCTATTGCGGGCTTTAGAAATTTCAAAGCCTGTCCCCAGTGACACACCTCCTCTAGCAAGGCCACACCTTCTAATCCCTCCGAAACAGTTTCACCACACTGATCAACTATTCAAACATGGGACCATTCTCACTCAAACCTCCACCCCAGGATACAAAGACAAGGCATATCAGTGACCACAAAGGTAGAATCTCTACTGCTTCAGAGCTTCAGATAGCCAGGCTAGGGACAGGAGACCGGCAGGCACGTGGACTTAGTGCTCTCAGCACTGGGATGTTTCCCCCACCTGATCCTCTGGTCCTGTCCAGAGGCTTCAGCCTGCAATGTTCTGGCCACTGGAAATACACACCGATCACAGGACTTCCACGCAAATTCTCCCCAGTCAGGGCACCTCCAGTGTGTCCCACCTTATGGAGCAGACGCTGTGTTGTCAGAATTAGAGCCGTTTGTGTCATCATTCAGCCATAGCTGCCTAGGGACAGTTTTGTGCAAGGTGCGATACTCGTGCACCTACAAGGTCCTCCTTGGAGACCCAGGCTTCTGGTATATTATCATATGCCCGACAGCACAGCCTTGCCGGCAGGTTCAGTGTGTTGAGCCAGAGTTCCTCTACCAAGCACTGGTACCAGTTGATGCCTGCAGGCCCCACAGTCAGCAGGCCAGAGCTTGACTGGATCTCACATTGCTTTCCAGGGGCTTTCTTAAAACCTGTGTGGGTGAAAAATAAGCCTTAACTTACCCTCTGCTTCTCTCGTCCCTCCCTCTTCTGTGTGTCTGTCTGTCTGTCTCCCTCTCTGTAATGCCCTTCCCACCCTGTCCTTCCTTTATTTTCATTATGATTTCTGGTGGCTTGTGGTTTGATTTGTTGGTCCCCTCGTGTGGCTCCCCCCCCCTGCTGCAGAACTCATCCAGCTCGGCCTCCTCGGAAGCATCGGAAACCTGCCAGTCAGTGAGCGAGTGCAGCTCCCCCACCTCAGTCAGCTCAGGCTCCACCATGGGCGCCTGGGTGTCCACAGAGAAGGTGACTGGCCAGGGCTGCAGCCACGGTGGGCTGTTCTTCCTGATCTGCCCCCTGCTTACTGTACATGCAGCTGTAGGGACCTGGAAATTCAGGAGCTACTCAAGAGCTGGGCCCTCTGTGGGATAGGACCTGAGCAGGTGGAGGATCCCTGGCTGCCCAGCAGTGGGTTTAGTGAGGCAGAGGAAAGGGAGGTGGGGAATTTGGAGATGTGAAGACTTCTTCCCGGAGCAGGTGTCTGTGTCCATCTGTTCTCCCCTCTTCCTCCCTGAACATCCCACAAGACTGTTGGATGTGCCGTCCCCCTGTGTCGGAGGTCATGTGCTTTCCTGCCTTTTTGTTTGCACCCCGACCCCTCCTCACCTCCATGTGAATCTGCTCCCGAGCCGTGTGACGACTGGGAAACCTGGAATGATCAGATTCATTTGCAGACGAAACGAGCCAATCCCTGGCCCACTGGAATTATGCTTCACCAGCTCAAAAAATTAGACCTCTAAGAACATTGCAAATTAACAATAATGATCAATTTCTAAACCGTCTTGAAACCCAGCTCAGATATTCCCCCGACCAGTACTTACTGGGTGCCACATCAATGCGGTCTCTGCATCCTGGCTCTCGCTCTGCGTCACACGTCATCCGCAGGCAGGAGAGCCTCCATGTTGTTTTATTTGTACATATTCAGGTTTCCCCTGCCCCCAGTGTCAGTACCATCTTGTGTATCGACGCTCATCTTTGTATATTAATTTTTTCCTTTTCTCCTCCCTTTTTTGTTTGTTTCCAGTTGTCTAATGGGTTTTCTCACTTTAGTTTATCAAGTGAGTCCCATGCAGGGCCCGTGGGTGCAGGCCCTTCCCCTCATTGCCTGCCTGCCTCCCGCCTGCTCCCTCGGGTCACCTCTGTCCACCTTCCTGACTACGCTCATTATTACACCATTGGGCCCGGCATGTTCCCGTCATCTCAGATCCCTAGCTGGAAGGTTTGTGTCTCCCTTCCCTTCCCTTCCCTGTCCCGCCCCCTGCCCCCCTTCTCCCTCTCCACCTCTTCCCTCCCTCCTACCCCTCATTGCTCTGTGCTGACATCCTCCCCTAGACTCTCCCCTGCCCTCCCCTTTCTTTCACACTCTGCCTTCTTCCCCACAACCCTTCTTCCTCAGGAAGCCCCCGGGGTGGGTGGGGCAACAAAAACCAGCTGGAGGTACTTCCCTCAGGGAACAGAAAGCTGGTCTTCCTTTAGAGACCAGCAGCCCTGGAGATCAAGGACACTGCCAGAAGGGAGGCCAGACTCCGCATCAGGGTGGGGTCTGCTGGTTTCAGTTCCTCCCAGGCCACCTACAGTGTGTTTCATCAGAGCCTATGGGTTCTCCTTGGCCATATGCCCACCTTGTCCCCCCGAATGACAATCCTGCTGTCGTAACAGAACCACAGCTTTGGATCATTGTATATGCTGTAGCTTAGTGGTATATGAAGACTTTAGTTTTGATTGCTTTATATTGAAACGTGTTTGCTTCAATGTAAAAACCAAAATTGTAAGTGATCCCCAACAGTGCAGTTGAGGCTCCAGGAGGGTCGGTCCCTGGGCTGCCAGCATTTTGAGTAGATTGTGACTTCATCTCAAACCGGCAGCAGGTCCTAGAGCCCTGTGTCAGAGAGGCCAGCGTCCCAGGAGTGGGGGGATACCGCTGTAGAGTGGCTGGCAGCATGCTCTCGTGCCCCCTGGTGGCCACTTAGCCAAGTCGTTCAGTCTCTGGGAGAGTGGTTCCTCCAGACAGAAGGGCAGCCTGGATCCTTGGGATGGCTAGCTCTCCCCTGGCTAACACTTTGTATCTAACAACCACCTGTCAGGTGGCCTCTGCCTGCCTGGGTTGTTGAGAGTATTTAATCTTTGGGCAGGGATGAGGGTAAGGGAGGTACCTAGAGACTCTCAGTTGAGTGTTGGCAGGCAGAAGAGCTAGGGGCTAGCCTCTGCTAGAACTGCCTTGTGTGGGGCTGGTTTCCACCATCCGTCTGCATTGGGAGCCATGGCTTTTGACCACACTGTTCTACTCAGGACTGGGCAAAGCCAGGACCCTACGACCAGCCACTGGTGAACACCCTCCAGCGCCGCAAAGAGAAACGGGAGCCAGACGCCAATGGGGGCGGACCCACTAGTACAGGAGGGCCGCCTGCAGCTGCTGAAGAGGTGCAGAGACCGAGGAGCATGACTGTGTCAGCTGCCAGCAGGGTGATATACCTGTTCTCTGTATCTGGTTGGGTTCACATAGTTGGGCCAAGATGGGGACCACGGCCAGTCCTTGGGGACCTGATAGCCATCAGTTGGAGGAGTGGGGCTCTGTTCTTCTTCCTCTGCCTCACAGTGTATAAAAGACCCCGGGTGCACCCGTATGTGGGACTAAGCCATGTAGAACTCCCTGTTCCTGAATGAGAACTGTGCAGGTCTAAGTAGCCACCTGAGTCTACTGGCTGGTGCTCAGAGGAGTCGTCCAAGGTCCCACCTACAGCAGTGTGTATGCGGTGGCTCTGGTCTCTGAGTTTTCACGTCCCTGGTGGCTTGTGTGTCTCCGTCCTCTGTCCTGCAGCCCGGTGAGGAGATGGAGGCCTGTGAGGAACTGGCGCTTGCCCTGTCACGGGGCCTCCAGCTGGACACGCAGAGAAGCAGCCGAGACTCGCTGCAGTGCTCCAGCGGCTACAGCACTCAGACCACCACCCCGTGCTGTTCCGAGGACACCATCCCCTCCCAAGGTACGAGGCGCCCAGCTTGCCGTCCGGCTTTCCGGGCAGCTCCAGGTGAGGAGGCAGCGAGCTGGTGGCTGTTCTACACAGCGTTAACTCCTGGCTACCAGTGGGCTTTGGAATTGCTCTGTCATCTGAGGGTGCTTTGGGGCGTGATCTGTAGTTGACAGGGAGCTAGCTGCTGTGTAAGAAATGACCTGAATGGGAACGATTTTGCTTGTTTCTCACTGTCCGTGTATTAGTGCTCCCCAACTTGAAATGAGACACCTACAGTTAAGAACAGCTTCGTGTTTGCTTTGCTCTGTGTGAAGCACCACTTTTTCCCTTGAATAATCTTCACAGTCATGCACGGGGGAGAGATTTTTCTCCCCATTTTACAAATGTGGACACCGAAGCTCAGTAACTTGACCAGATCCACACAACTCCCAGCTAAGAGATGGAGTCTAGCGCCTAAGTTCTTAACTTACCCAGTCAAAGCCCCGTCTGCCTGCCTCTCTCCCTCTTCCCACCACATGCACAAGGCAAGCAGAACTGACATCTGGCAGCTAGAATCACTGTGATGGTTGGCCAAAAGCCACTTGCAACTTGCAAGCCATGAGTCAAAGATCTGAGCCAGTGAATCTCAAGGAAAGTTGCCCCCTACCCGGACATTGTGCAGAATCTAGGCACATCTTTCTCGTGCTCTGTTGGGGTGCTACTGGTATCGAGAAGGTAGAGACTGGGAGCTATGCTAACCCCGTCTAGAACAGCAGCTCTCCAGACCTCACCCAACAAAGAATTATCTAGTCTCAAGCCCCACATTTCAGTTGACTTGTTGTTCAGAAGCTTGACCATGCAATGCTTACTGTAAACCTCCCCCCCCCCCGGCCCTGAGACATGCTTGGCGCCATTTTAAAGCAGGCGTGAAGACATGAACCTTTGTGCTTTGCTTTCAGGAGCTGCTCCATCCTCTAGCCTTCCTAACTGCCAGCAGTTAGTTGTCAGGGAGACGGTCTGTTTTCCTGTGTCTGATTCTGGACCAGAGGATGGGACAGTGTATCTCCTTTCACCCTCTGCATTCCTCTCAGAGTGGTTGGTGGCAGCTTTGTCACTGCCCAGCAGTCTTAGGGCCTTCCCCAGTCTCACAGTTCTCTGCTGTGAGTACCCAGGGTACATTAGTGAGCAGAGCAAAGGGCTCCTGTCGGGAATTGGTACTGAGGCAGAATATGTCAGCATCTGGGCAGGGGAGGGGGAGGCCACGTGTCCTCCTGCCATGGCCTGGGAAAAGAATGGTCACCCTGGACCCAGACCTGGCTAATCAATCCTCCCCTCAGTTTCAGATTATGACTACTTCTCAGTGAGTGGCGACCAGGAGGCGGATCAGCAGGAGTTTGACAAGTCCTCGACCATCCCACGGAATAGTGACATCAGCCAGTCTTACAGGCGGATGTTCCAGGCTAAGCGTCCAGCCTCAACTGCTGGCCTTCCCACCACCCTCGGACCCTCTATGGTCACACCGGGGGTGGCGACCATCCGACGGACCCCTTCCACCAAGCCTTCTGTCCGTCGGGGGACCATTGGAGCTGGTCCCATCCCCATCAAGACACCAGTGATCCCTGTCAAGACCCCAACTGTCCCAGACCTCCCTGGGGTTTTGCCATCCCCTCCAGATGGGCCAGAGGAGAGGGGTGAGCATAGTCCTGAGTCTCCCTCTGTGGGGGAGGGACCCCAGGGTGTCGCCAACATATCCTCTTCCTTGTGGAGTGGCAAAGCCTCTGTCAACCCTCCACTTCCAGGCCCAAAGCCCTGTATACCTGAGGAGCACAGACAGGCGATTCCAGAGAGCGAGGCTGAAGACCAGGAGAGGGACCCCCCAAGTGCCACTGTCTCCCCAGGCCCGATTCCAGAGAGTGACCCTGCAGACCTGAACCCAAGAGAAAGCCCTCAGGGAGAAGACATGCTGAATGCCATCCGAAGGGGTGTGAAGCTGAAGAAGACCACCACCAACGATCGCTCAGCCCCTCGTTTCTCTTAGGCTCTCAGAGTTCCCAGGAAGTGCTGCCAGTGGGAAATGAACTCTTTCATTAATAAAACCTAATTTGTCTGATCCATTCCAGTCTATAATCAAGCAAAAGATTTTGTAGGCAATTCGGAATTCTGCTCTTTTGAAAGTATTCATCTTTAGATAAGAATTAAAAAGCAACATATGTAATTGACATAATCTTGATCTTTTAATTTGTAAATATTGACAGTTTCTTTCTGCATATTTTAATCTTAGTTTCCCTTTTGATTTTTCTGAAGGTGCCAAATTCCATTTAACTTTTTTACAAGTCTTTGTAAAATTTTAAATGCATAAAGGGGAGGGGGCGGGTTGGGACTGGGAACCTCGGAGTAATTTCACAAAAGGATTACATACTTATTCTTTTTCTTCCCTCAAGCTTTTGTAGATGCATTGTAGTTGTCTAGTTTAGAAGCAAATTCAAGTTATTTTAATGGACAAACACAACGGATAAGGGGTAAAGCCCTCATCCACGTATACTGTGTTCTGGATGAGAAAGGCAGGAGTAACAATTGAGCAATATGCAGAGAAGTAAACCCGGACATGGTGGACTGTGTTGGGATTGGGGGGAGGGCTGTGGGAGGGGCACACTGTCAATTTAGCCAATCCTGTTACATTTAAGAGTAGCCTTGTAGGTTGAATTTCCAGTAGCTTCATGGTTAACGCATCCGAATAAGCCATACTAGATTGCAGTGTTTGTTTCTGTAGGGTTTTTTAAGGACTTCCTTTCTCCCAGCATTCCTCTTGACCGCACATAGCACCCACATCCAGTCCCACGCATGCTGCTGCCACAGGTAGACATAGACCCCTATTACTTTCTCGTCTTATACTCACTTCTACTGAATCCAATACATCCAAAGGGGTAAGGCAATTCAGAAAACGTGAAAACACTTAAAAATGATAGCAGGGAATTCTTAGATATAGAAAATGCCTTTTACTTAACTGTGCCCAGCAGGCTGGGTACCTTAAAAAGCCCAGATATTTTGAAAAAAAAAAAAAAAAAAAACTCAAACAGATTTATCAAGGGTAACCGGCTTGGAGTCTAGCAATTTTGCCAATGTGCTTACCAATCAGGGGGCTTGTTTTTCTTCCATTCCATAAATAAGGGCAGTTGATTGGCTTCTAAACACCGGAGCGAAGAGGATTTATTTACTGTCATTGGGAGTCTGATCTCTAGTCAGGCAATGCTTTTTCTTCTTTTTAAATGGGTCTTTTATTTTAAAGTGGAAGTTAAATTTGTTACAATGCCCATCCCTAAAGTCAACAGAGATATTTGTAGATGTCAAAGAATCATGTTGAAGACAGCCGTGTCTAAAAGGCCAGGCCCTCAGAGTCCAGTGGCTGACAGTCCACATTTGACTTTGTAGGACAAGAAGCTTGGTGGGTCCTATGTGCTCTGTAGATCTCTGTTGGCTCCGACCTCTGATGACATAAGCTTATACTTTAATACATAACCACATTGGATGTGCGAGTACTGTTCCTCTAGTCATTGTTCTACATATTAACGTTTAACACTGCTGTGATTGCTCCAAGGACATTTTATGTTATGGCTTTAAAGCAAAGGCATGATTATTAGAAATGACTTAAGCTCTTTTCTTTGAAAAACAAGCTCCTTTTACACACTATAAGCAAACAGTAGTGCCTGTGGTTTAGCCCACCAATCTTGATGACTCAAAGTAGCTGATGCATTGTGCATATGATGCTTGAGATGGTTTTTGCAGATGCAGAAATCACAGCAAGGTCATTCTAATAGATACAAGTGGTATTTTAAACCTTTGAAAGGAATGGATGTAACTGTACGTTGGTACAGCTTTTCACTTGTTTAGTTTTTAAACGTTAGTATAATCTGAATAAAGTTAATATAAACTGTTGCCAAATTCAATGTAGAAAGAATGTGACAAACACCTTGGGTAGTTCTGTTTGTGTTTTTGCATATTGTAAAAGCAGTGTCACAGCTGAAATGCCCTTCTAAAGGTAAATTATTGTGGTTTAGTTGCTAGTTTGTATTGAGAGTTGACCTCTCCCTGTGCAGTTTTTGTTCTAAACTTGTATAATAACAGTGTGTAAAGTGTCTCCCTTCTACAATGTAACAACTGCTTCAGCCTACCTTATAAATAAAGAACCACTAAGAAAAGAAGTCCTTAAGTCTTATTCACATTGAGGTCTTACCAAATGTCAGAACATGGACCTAGTCTCAAACTAAGCTTAGAAACGTTGAAGTTATTTCTGTGGCAGTTGGGAGATTTAACGGTGAGGGTTGTCTAAACTAATAATTTGAAAAGTTCCAGTGAGTTAAACTAAAACCTAAAAGCAAGCAGTTTGTACTGGCGGGCTGCCTCACTTATTCTTTAAAGGCTGAGTTTCAACTATGCAGCCCTGGCTGAGCTGAAACTGCAGACCAGGGTAGTCTTGAACTCAACATGGAGATCTGCCTGCCTCTGTATCCTGAGTGTTGAGATTACAGGTGTGCACTTCTTTAAAATGCTGGCATCATGGGCAGTGGTGGCGCACACTGTTAATCCCAGCACTCGGGAGGCAGAGGCAGGCAGATCTCTGAGTTCAAAGCCAGCCTAGTGTGCAGGGAGTTCCAGGCCAGCTACACAGAGAAACCCTTGAGAAACAAAAACAAGGAAAAATGCTGGCTTGAGTGTCCACAGCATGTGTATGGAGGTCATTGAGTGTCCACGGTGTGTGTATGGAGGTCATTGAGTGTCCACGGTGTGTGTATGGAGGTCATTGAGTGTCCACGGTGTGTGTATGGAGGTCATTGAGTGTCCGCGGTGTGTGTATGGAGGTCATTGAGTGTCCACGGTGTGTGTATGGAGGTCATTGAGTGTCCGCGGTGTGTGTATGGAGGTCATTGAGTATCCACAGTGTGTGTATAGAGGTTACTGGGCAATCTGGACTGTTCTCCCCTTCACATACATGGGTCCTGGGGAAAAACAGGCTTGGCTGCTGGCTGGCCTTCTCTGCTTTACCTTTTTAAAAACAAATACTAAAAAAGGCCTGCTCTATCCTTACCTTTACTGTGAACAATCCATGCTCAGTAGAGGAGACATCTGGATGCTTGCATCCCACGTTAGATCTTCACCCGGCCATCAAACCTGCACTCCATCTCCAGAAAGCCCTGAACTCCATCCTCCTGTGTGCTCCTCACAGGAGAGTTGCTGTTTTCATAAGACTAAAATCCCATTCATAAAATCTTTAGAAGTAGCTAGGGGTAGCAGTGCGTGCCTGGAACCCTAGCAAACATGAAGCTGACCGAGAACCCACATAAACCCGGCTCTTTTCCTTTTAGTCCTCTATTTCTCTTCTGTTTACTCCTTCCCTTTACTACTTAAGGCTTCATCTTTAAGCCTCAACTCAGTTGGGCTAGAGAGATGGCTCAGTGGATAAAGCACTTAGAGGGACCTAGGTTTGGATTCCCAGAACTGCTGCGTACAGCAGTGCCTAAGAGACCTCATCTCTCAGGTGGAAGGTGAGGACCACCTCAGTTCTCTGCCCTGCTTGTGTGTGCCCACTGCACGCACACAAAGCTAAGCTGTCAGCCCGGGCCTAACAATCTAGCATCTGTTCTCTAAACCTTTTCCTCACTGAGCACATCTGCTATCAATATGATTCTACGTGAGTTTTTCTTAGCATGATATATACAGTAAAAACCAAACCACAATCCAGGAATACTCAGTGCCACAGTAATCCTGGGAAGAACACCTCCGTCATAGCCGAGCATGGTTAGTTGGTTTTATTAGGGCAAGTGTGAACATGTTCTCTTGCTTCTCCACTTGCAAGCATCAACAGTGAGGTCCTGTATCTACACAGGCCGATCTCGAGGTCTGGTCACAATATGCCACCACAGTGGGGGCAAGTCACCTTCCTTTCTTGCAGGAGGCAAAGCTTCAGTTATAATACCATCAGGTGGTGTCTCCTCCTGCAGCTGCTTAACCTAGAAGGGGACAAGGAAGGAATAATTACCAAAGGAATCTAATGCTAAGACCAGTCTGCCATGCTCACGACAGCTTTCCTGTGACCTGTCTCCTCCCACCCTGACTCTCAGCATCAAGACAAATTTCATATAAACTTCCTCACAACAACTCTTCTCTTGGAAGAGTCCTTTTGTTTTTTGAAGTCAGTGTCTTTTTATGGGGCCGAGTCTACTAGCCTGGAACTTGCTATGCAGCCCAGGCTGGCCTCTAACTCCTCAGGCTACCCCTCTTCTTAAGCAAAGCCATCTTCCTGATTCCTCTTGTCATGGTCTCCCACTGGTCCCAGGAAAGCATTTTCGTCTTAGCTAAATGCTCCAAAAGCACTGTGAGGAAGCCCCAGTTCAGTGTATTAGGGATGCAAATTAAGAAGGTCCTGAGAATGGCCAGGTCAAGAATTCAGGTGAATCACATGAGAAGTGTGCCACCACTGCCCAGCTACGAAAACATATTTTAAACCTTTTTACAGCACTTTATAGAAAACATGGTGCCCCTTGGCCACAGAGGCCTTTCTATTCCACCGTAGCCAACGACTTCTAATACCAACATCCTGAACTTTCTCTCTTAGAGCCAGTACAACTTCCAAAATGGTAAACTGAGATAGCCATCTCTAGCTACTGCTGCCTGCCTGCTATCTTCGTAAATGCCCACTGAGACTCTGTAGAAACTAATCTACACATACCTTCCCCCATCCGGAGCTCTCTACATCAGCCTCTGTTTTTCCTTTTAAAATAAAACTCACCTCACAGAGAACTCCGCCCGCCTTTGCCACCCGAGTGCTGGGATTAAAAGCGTGTTCCACCACTGCCTTCCCGAGTGCTGGGATTAAAGGCATGTGTGACCACTGCTCAGTTCATCTTTATGGTTAAATACAAGTTGAAGACTCACAAATACTTATAGACAAGACTCCTACACCTAAAGATGCCAACCTGAATCTCTATTTCACATCTGCCAGATTCTCAAACATCTGCCTTCCTAACTGATTATCCTGGACACAGGAGGCTTCCCCCCACCTTACCCATCTTCCCTATCTCAACCAATGAACACCCCTCCAGGGGACATCCAGAATGTCTCTTTCCTCCCGCACAGATACTGTACGGCTTTACTGTGGGCCACACAACTCTCCACTTAATTACTATACTAACATAAACTGGACTCCTGTTTCCTCATGTCACCTCCAACATATCGTTCATGCTACGGCAAGAGCCGCTAAAATCTAACTCTGAGTATCTTAAATTGAATGAAAAATGCCTGCAGCTCTAGAATAGAGAAGGGAAAACAACTGGATAGAACAGGAAAAATAGGAGAAGTGGGAGAAGGGCAAAGAAAAATAGAGAACAGTGACACCCAAAACATACTAGAGAGAGACAACTTATTGGGAAGACGGCCACTGTGAAACAGAAACTGAAAGTCTAGTTGTCAAGGCTGAACTGTGGACCTCAGCCACAGAGGCAAACTCTTTTCACAGGGTGACCAAGCCAAAGGCCATGAAGCACAGTCAAAGACACACCTCCCGATCCCAGCTTTCCATCCTCAGCTTCTTCCACTGCTCTCTCTTAGAAAAGTAATCAGGATACTCGGCTTTCTCAGAGGGATGCCAGTAATCTAAGCACCATTCCGGAACCTGCCAGGAGAGAAAATCATGTGTTATTCCACAGGCTACCTTTACAAACACCACGGACAAGGCCTGCTCAGGAGACAGAAGACAAAACTCAAGGGGCTTCTATGACCAAGTATGGGCTGGACAGAAGGCTTAATTGGTAAAATACAGTACTTCCACTCTCGCCTGAGAACCTGAGTTCAGAGTCCCAGTGCCCATGAAAGAGCAGGCACGGTGGTGAGCACCTGTTATGCTGGTGACAGGCAAGTGGAGACAGAAGGGTCCTTGGAGCTGACTGGCCACCCGGCCTAGCCAAAACAATGGGCTCCAGGTTCAGCGAGAACCATCTAAAAAATAAAGGGAAGAGCAACTGAGGAAGATGCCCCAAATTAGCTCTGGCCTCTACAAGTACACCCACCAACACATAGGTATCACACACATATACCTATACGTGTGTGTGTGTATGTGTGTGTGCACGCGTGTAAAACTGTTACTATCACTGTTTCCGACTCTGACGAGCAGTGGGCAAGCGGACATGGGCGGTAAGAGAGAATACCCACAGTCAAGGGGCTTGTGGCTCAAACATTACAGTTAGTCCGAGAAAGCTGGCACCACTACTCTCTGGATGTATTCCCTAAACACCAAGAATGACAGAAACATTACCTGAGTGTCCTGAGCAACGCTCAGCACCAACCCAAACTGGCTAACTCTAAGACCCCAGATAAGCTGCACACCAAACACTTCAACACTGCTTTGCCAAAAGTACACTGCAAAACCTTAGAGCGGACTTTATGAGAAGACGAGAGGAAAACGTTCTGCTGCCAGGGAAGATGTAGCCGCTGCTGAGGTCTGGGGCGGGGACAAAGCTCGTCCTTGAGAAGCAGTTGCCGTGTAGCCTCGCTCACCTTGTAGCATTCGTATCTCTCGTAGGAGGTGCCCCCGGGAGACTCAGGGAAGATGTACGGCTGAGGGTGCTGGTTCTGCCAGAATTCTTCTTCCGCTGCCCTCAGCAGCTGGGTAGCCTTCATCATATCCTTCTCATTCCTATGTTCTTCAAACCGGGCTCTCAACAAACAAGCAAAGTACCGGTATTTGTCCCTTAAATCAAAATGATTCCGGACATCAGAACAGTTATCTACTTGATTGGTCAGATCAGCATTCCTACCAACACATCACAGGTGAGCAACTTTTTAGTACCTCATCGACCTCTCAAGTCACTGGCTACTTTATCTGCAGCCCTTCAAAGAGCAACAGACTCAGTATCAGTACAGCCTGGCCACTTCCCTCTCATCAGCAACAGACACAGTATTCGTAAAGCCTGACCACTTCCTGTTCATCAACAGCAGACACTGTATTAGTACAGCCTGGCCACTTCCCTCTCATCAGCAACACTGCATTAGTACAGCCTGGCTGGCCACTTCCTCTCTCCTCCAAGGAATGAGGATTTTGCCATGAAAGGGAAAGGCAACAGCTCTTGCAGATTCACTCAATATGCATTCAGAGGCAACTGCTACAGGTCCTCCCTTCTTGTGCTAGATGCCGTGCCAAT